TTCTTATTCCAAGGCAAAGTTCACAAACCAAAACACCTACTTCCGGGTTTGCAGTGTTCTTAATCCAAGTTGTTCATAAACTAAGCTGTTCTTAAACCAAGGTACCCCTGTACAAACCTTTTGACTCACTAAAAAATATTGCACCCTAGTGGTAACACCTGAGATATAATTCATTAAAACCCAATAGGGTATTGCCACCTTAATGTTGAAATAACAAAAGGAACAAGACCTAGGTTCAAGAAATAGTTGGTGAAAGGGCTGGAGACTAATTTGTGCATGTTAGTTTTTACAGAAATACTAAGCTTAGGCTTAGTATCGAAAGCATCTTGAAGGCACAAAACTTCCATCCAGAATGCTTATTAGTATTACTACTCGAGCAACACTTTCACAGCCCGTTCTAGGATTTTACTTTCCCCTCAGGGAATTAAACAGGGTTGCCCTACCATGTTAACACCTATCAGAACAGGTTCCTCTCTCCCAAACAAACTGATGATGATGAACATTAGAAAAGGATTGGTTAAATATTCTAATTATTATTCAGGAATAGGGATGGGTGAAAATTCCAATATTGGTTTTTCTAAGTTTTTCATTTTCCCAAAGTTCCATTCTGCACATTTCTACATTGGTTTGCATTAAAAACAAGTCCTCATGAAAATGTCAGCATTTTTGTGCAACTTTCTCCTATTATACACATTTTATATGCAGTTTTGGTTACCATACACATTTCTGCAAAGCAATAATCCCTAACATACTATATTTTTGTGCATCATTTTCACTAATATATGCATTTGCATGCATGCTTTGCCACAGTACATTCATTTTTGTGTACACATTACTTGGCTGGAGAACTGCATTGCAACATTTGGATAAGAACAGTAACTGTTTTGGTTCACAGATTACATATTACTATGGAAATATGAATTTGGCAAGTTTAAATGCAAACTGAATCAAGTATCTCCTTCATCCCTATATAGGACTATTTATCCCTATAAATCTTGGTTTTTTTACTATCAGGATTTCTGGGGTTCAACCTTGAATTTCTACTGAAGGAGTAACAGTCAAACATGGAATATGACTTCGCTAATGTCATTACTGAAGACTGGGACATTTCATCTTATTTTTATAGAATCGGAAACAAGCTAGTGGGAACTTGGAAAATGGAAATTTCCTAGTAACAGAGACCAATGGCACGGCTGATCTTCAGTGAGTGTTCCAGAATCACACAGCATCTCATAATGTCAGGCACGAGGTTAGCAAAATTAGGGAGTCAAGTCACACAAAAGGAGACACAGTACTCCTCCTTCACGGATGAGAAGAAGAATGAGGGTCAGGACCTTCCAACAGCACAAGAAAAGAATCAGTTCATTGAATGCAAAGTAGGTACAGATTTTCTACCTCCCAAAGGTCATATGATAAATAGAACAACTTCACAGTCACAAGTTGCCTATGATAAACAGTGCCCAGTTAATGAACACTGTTATGGACTTGCCTTTACTTTGGCTCAGTGGATTTGTAGTCTAGGAGAGTGTATTTCAAAACTTCTATTAGATGGATCATTGTTGTGTGACATTTTGTTCATGGCTCTCTTCATTTGTGCTCATCCATTCCTGCATGTATGCATGGAAGCAAATGACCTCTCACAACAATGATTGCCCTGAATAGGTTTCCCCTTCCCACAATGAAGTTCCACTAAATCCTTTTCCCCCTAGCCAGCCCAAAAGTTTGCTTTGTGCTTTATACAGTCAACATCTATAAAGCATGGCTAGAATTAATGTTCTTTAAATATCATTTTGGCTATACCAAAGTCCTTCCCACCCCTCTCAGGTGTTTAAGTAGGGCAAGTGGGAATAAATACTGTCCCCCATCACCTTCCATGTATCTGCCTCTAAAGCAAGGATCTCACTAAACTGCTGGAGGCTCCCTGCATGGTTATAAGCAGGGGTAGGCAACTTAAAGCCCGGGGGCCGGATCTAGCCCAATCGCCTTCTCAATCCAGCCTACGGGCGGTCTGGGAATCAGTGTGTTTTTACATGAGTAGGATGTGTGCTTTTATTTAAAACGCATCCCTGGGTTATTTGTGGGCCATAGGAATCCGTTCATCCCCCCAAAAAATATAGTCCGACCCACCACATGGTCTGAGGGATGGTGGACCGGCCCACGGCTGGAAAAGGTTGCTGACCCCTGGTTATAAGTGATGGAGAGAACCTCTTTGAGTACTGGAATCTAGACCCTGTTGGGGGAATTCTGCCACTGGTGGCTTTTACTGCCACTGCAGCATTGTGACCTGGTAACCATAAGGAAAAGGGAGAGAACCTCCAGCCCATGGGGCCTTCCTATTCACCCCACACCCTTCCATTCTCAACTGTTTTTAAGCCTAATGGTTAATGCTGTGATTGAGGGGAGGGGCAGTTACAGCTGGGACAATAAGGTTTAGTCTTCCTCTCCTGCAGGTTGTAACCTCCACCACCACCCCTCTACCCCATGCAGCAATTAGGCTTCTGAAAGCAGCTTGCATTGCTGCCAGTGCATTTGTGGGGTAGTGGTAGCTGTAGGGGAGAGTGAGAAAGAAAAGGAAGAGAGAGTAAGGGGGAAGTGTGTGTGAAATGAGGAAGGTGAGAGAATGAAATAAAGGTGGGTGACAGAATAGCTATATATGGAGGGGCCTCCAGGCCCCACCCACATTTGACACTGGTCTTGCCCACTGTCGGCATGCTGGCCGCAACAGATTTCTCCCAAAGGAGTCTGGCCTTTGGAAGAAAACAAAGGTTTTCCACCTCTGCTCTAAGGGAACAATGAGAACAAAAAAGCAGTATGTATTGATGAAATTTCCCATGTTGATATAAACCAACCAGTCAATTCTTTGGTTTGAGGCTTCTGGTTTATTATAAAATAATCCACAGCTCCTCATATTTCATTATTGACTCAATCTAAGTGGGTGAAAAGGTGTAAGATTTTCAAGAAAGCTTTAGTCAGAGATGGTACCTCATTACACATTCAGAAGAGAAATGAGAAATGTCAGGCTTCATGTTCTGCCTGCGCCAGGAATGGAGGTCTCCCTCGACATCATGGGGAGTTACAGATGGAGATAAACAAAGAATGATGGGGAAAGTCATTCTTTTAATTCCTCTGTAGGTGTGAGAGGAACTGGCTTTCACTCGCGGATTGCCCTGCGGTCTGGCACTTGCTTCCCTATGGAATGCGAGGGCAGGCAAAGGAATTGGGTGCATGGAGCACTCCGACTGCCACAACCACCACCCCACAATCTGTTCCTGGAAGCAGAGGATACTTTGCTAATTAGGCTTTAATTGAAGTAAAGTACAGGTACGTGCTAGAGGCAATGAGAAGACAAACTGTGGAACATCTCGGCTACAAGGATTTAAAGGTTGGAATTGAGATAAGGTTTCATTTGGTGCCAGAGACAGTAGGGGGAGGGGAGCCTAGGGTTGCTTTTTCAAAGTTTTTCTTCTATATTTCTGATTTGGCAACCCTCCTCAGACTGCAAGGTTAAAATAAAACATAATATAAAAGTGAGGGTGGAAGAAACTGGATTAATAATATGAAATTTAACATCAAACTGGAACTGCATATGTGAGAGGAACTGAATGGAGAGAGAGAGAAAGGGGGGGAAGTTTCACCCTTTGAAAGGACTATGTTGGAATATAGAACGAAACCATCCCCGCTCTCCATTATTTTCAAAGGAATGCAAAGGAGATTGAGACAATTTGGAATGTGATCTATTTGGAAAGATAACTGATTATAAATTTTCAGCTGAAAAGAGGAAAAGAGTCTGTCAGCTGCAAGGTCAGAGGTTTTCCTATTAATTGGTAGTTTGGAATCAGACCGCTCTTCCTAGGCTGAAAAAAAAATGGTGAGGAAAGTTTATTTGTTGGAACAGAGGGGTCTCTAACAAGCTCTTGAGTCACGGGATGAAGCGATGCAGAGGCGTTTTGGAAAACTGTGGGACAACTGCTTCCCCCGAGTCATGATGGGAAATATCAACAGTTGGAAGAATGAAGGACACGACACCATATATGGTTGGGACAACACCATGGGGGGAAAACTACCACACACAGGAAAGAACAATGAGACGCACCTAGTTTTTAGAGGAGGAAAACAAGAAAAAAAAAATTCTGAATCAAATGTTGTACTAAACTATTTAATAAACTACCGGTATATCAGAAAAATATTTCAACCATGTAAAGTAAACAGCTGTACTGGAGGAGGAAGACGAGTGCGGGGGAGTGGACTGCCTCCGACAGCACAATCCCGATGGGGTGCCATTGCGGCTGCCCCCCGCCCGTGCTGGGCGTCATGCCCCAGCAGGCGGCATGCCCTGCCCCCAGGACACGTGCCATGCCTCTGCAGATGGCGTGCCACGCCCCCAGGACGTGTGCCAGCCCCGCCCCTGCCTGCTCTCTGCCCCCCAGTGCCGGAGCATGAAGCTCTGCCACTGAACAGCAGCCAACAGTGGCATTAAGAACCATCATCACTGTCATTAACAAATGAAGAGAGAGTTTAAGGTTCAAGTACTCTTCTAGACTTCTGTGAACCCCAGGAACTCATCAGTGCTAGGGTCAGAATTTATGAAGCTACTCATCAGTGCTAGGGTCAGAATTTATGAAGCTCCGTTGCTCACAATCACTGACATCACTTTCTTCGCTATCTTCATATAAGTTACCATCTTTGTTTCCATCCAAAGCATTGCTAATGCCACATTTTTTGAATGACTATACAGCGATTTCCTCCTTCACCGAGTGCCATGATGTTTTCACCCAGTCACAAACTTGAGTGGGCCTCTTCATTCGTCCAGTAGGTGTCAGATCATGATTCCCAGCAGCCATCCATTTCTTCCACTCTTCTCGCATAAAGACCTTAAATGGCTTGTTGATGGAAACGTGAAGAGGTTGCAACTGGCTGGTAAGGCCTCCAGGAATTACAGCTAGATGAGTCTTCACTTATTTAAAGCACTTTTCTGTAGTTTCGCTAATATGTGCTCTAAACTAGTCCAGTACTAATAAGGCAGGTTTTTTCAAAAGCCCTCCAGGACGTTTGGACCACACTTTTTCAACCCATACTCTCATTCCATTTTTGTCCATCCATCCTTTCTCATGAACATGTACAACAACTCCTCTTGGAATCTCTTCTTTTGGGAATGTTTTCCTTTTGAAAATTAACATGGGTGGCAATTTGGTGCTGTCTGCACAGCTAGACAACACAACCATATAATGGGTTTTCTCATGTCCGGAGGTTTTCATGGCAATAGTTTTGGCACCTTTCAGATCAACAGTCCTATTAGATGGCACATCAAAAGTTAGCGGGACTCCATCCATATTCCCAATCTGGCGAATTTCAAACCCATTTCTCTTCCTAGCATCAATTACCAATTTATGAAAAGACAGAATCTTAGATTCATATTCTTCTGGCATTTTTGGTGCAATTCTAGTTTTGGTGCGCATAGCAAGGCCACATCGCTTCATCAATCTGTAGCTCCACGGTGGTGATCCAGTAAAATCGTGAATGCCTTTCTCTTCAGCAATGCATTTGGCTTCATATATTATCATTTTTGTAGAGACTGCAAAGCCCTTATTCCGGTGATTTGTGATCCATTCTTTCATGGCCATGTCCAACTGTGGCCACTTTGCAGCATTTCCACAAAAAGTGTGCTTACTTTTATCTGCTTTTTGCAGCTGATCCTCCTGTTTCCTCCACTCTCTTACCATTTTTTCAATTGGAGGTGGCCCAAAATGTGTCTCCGCTGCTCTGTTTCCATGCTCCTTAGCATATTTTACTACCTCTAGTTTAAAAGGAATCTTCTATGCTAGTCTTTTCTGCTTTATCATCCTCATATGTAGAATGTAGAATCCCTCCACCCACGAGTGTCGTCCCAAGGGGGTGGCGCAAGCGTGAGTGCCCATCCCAATGGCGTGGCTGAGCACGGGGGCGGAGAGATTACACGGCTCCCACTGTGCTTGCTTTACACCCATGTAAGCGGCTCCTTTCCCACTTTGCTGCTTTAAAGCGAGCTGCGGAGGAGGGACAGACAGGACCCATGGCTCCTGTCCATCCCTCCTCCACGCAGCATTCGCTTCATAAAACGCAGACATTTCCCCTTACTTTTTAGGAGGAAAAAAGTGTGTCTTATGGAGCGGAAAATACAGTACCTCACCTGAAACTTTATATATTACTTAATATATTAACATGAATTGAAAACATAAGATTGTAGTCATTGTATAAGGGATTATTATCTTGAAGGCAATGTAACTGAAATTATTAAAATTTTGAAATGGGGGGGGAGAGGGAGCCATCAAATCTAGCTCGTGAGGAGGCCACTTTAGCTAAATTGTATAATTTGGTACATGAATAATTGATTTTAATAATTGTATTAATTAGATAAAATTGGCATTGTTATAATGAGGCTGTTATTGGAACGATATTGGAAAATCACTAAAAATATTTATTTAAAAAGAGAGCGAGAAATGAGAAATGTCCACATTATGACAAGATCCTCCTTCCCAGATCAAGCTGTATTACCCATGCGGGATGGAGTGTCACAAAAGAAATCTTCAGATTGGGAAAGAATGAAAGCATAATTTATTAGTGACTCAGATATTTGTATGCAGAGAAAGGAATTATAAACACACCAATGGGATGCAGGGATCCCTCCCTCCCTCCCATCAATGATCTACAACTGAAGCCATTACCAGAAGTATTCTTTCCTCTCTTTCATTTTGTTTTGCTGTGAATAGATGGATTTCAATTTATTTAAGGGCCCAATTTCCAGCTGATATAGGCTCTTCTATTGTAAAATCTAATTTTTGCATTATTATTTTTTAAAATCAAAATAGATCACCAGTGTATATTTTATTTTTCAGTTGAGGCATCTCTCAACTTGCATCTCTCAGTTTTATTGCTCTTATAGGAGTGATTTTAATGAGTTTTCAATTTATCACGGTTTTGATATTAAGAAAACAAGCTGCCTTGAGCAACCAATGGGGTGGAAAGACAGGAAATAAGTTGTAACAAAAATAAATAAATATATAAATGGTATTTCATGGAACTGTTAATGATGTAGCATCTTTTCCCATAACATGCTCAACGTATCCTCAATTGCCCCAATCCAGCAGTTACCTTAGCCTCAGCAGAAGGCCTGCGTGTGCTGTTTCATGTACACATACCTATGGGATAACCAGCCACATACAACCAACATGCTTAAGTCTAATTAATGCATGAAGGGTTAAAACCATAGAGGAAGCTGTCCTGCCAGGCTTGAACCAACATGACCTACTATATCCCATGACATGGAGAGAGAGGGAGGCTCTGTCTTCAGTTCACATCTGCTGATGTTGGATAATGCTGTACATGGGAAAGCCACATACAATACATAGGATGTTAGAATGTGGGTGCTCATATAATCCAGTCAATGTGATCTCCATTAACACTGCACTATACAGATGAAAATAGGCTTTCCCATCTTTCCTGAACTGAGGGTGGAACTGTATATCCTATTCTGCTGAGTTATCCACATAACCACAGCTGCAAGTAAACATTGTCCTGGTTGGCACATAACACTAAGCCATGGTATGCTGAACAACCCGTAAGATGATCAAACATGTTTCTCCAAATATTGGTTTGTTTTCCAGCTGCTCTTGCCTCCTGCCTTTGTAATTTGTTGAGTGTCTAGGGTGGGGTAGTCAAACAAACTATGGTTAAGGAATGGTGGTGGGTTCACATGTAACACTGAGCCATGATTAAAACAAATCCATGTTTGTAAGCTAGCAACAAATCATGGCTTCAGACTATGGTCTGATGGCAGTAAAGAACCAGCTAAGACCCTAAGCAGGGTTCACACTTAACACTAAGCCATAGTTTAATAAACCACAGTTGAATAAATTATGGCTTATAATCATGTGCAAACCAGGCCATTAACTCAAACAATGACGAGATTCATAGTAGTAGCAATGGTATACAGTGGTACCTCGGGTTAAGTACTTAATATGTTCCGGAGGTCCGTTTTTAACCTGAAACAGTTCTTCACCTGAAGCACCACTTTAGCTAATGGGGCCTCCTGCTGCCACCACGCTGCCGGAGCACGATTTCTGTTCTCATACTGAAGCAAAGTTCTTAACCTGAAGCACTATTTCTGGGTTAGCAGAGTACAGACTGGATCTGGTGATATTTTCTGACAGCGTTCTTATTCTCAAAATGAGACACCAAATCACTGTGTCAATTAACTGAGCCCATAATTCTTCCTCAGCCTCAATGCTTCATCTCTGAAATGGGAATAGTAGTGAATGAAGAGTTATTGCAACGTCAGATTAAAAACTGACATCTGCCAAAGCAAAACTAATTACCCTACCAATTGAGACAGCAATAATGTTTATAACATTCCTAAAGAGGAATCATAAAATTCTAAATCTACATTGCCCGCCAGGAATATAAACTATAGGGAATAATAATTTATTCACAGGGTTGCTGCAAGGATTAATGAAACAAAGTAGATAATAAAAGTGCTATATAAATGAGGAGGGCTTTGCAGTTATTCAGGAGAGTATGCAAGACAAGCTTCCACAAGAGAGACAAATTCTCTTTGTAACTATATGTATAAATATTATCCCATTCCACTCAAGTTCTTTGCTAAGGTGCAATAAAAGTACATACTTGCTATTTGTCATCCTCCACAGAATGAGGTGCATCTATAAATCCTCACATTTGTATCCTAAGAAGGCATGCTGGACCAGAAAAAAAGCTCATCTATGGGAAGCTCACAACAAACAGAACATGAGCACAATAGCACTCTCCTGCTCATGATCCCCAGCAAATGATATTCAGATATATAATACTGGAATATATAGCCATTATGACCAGTAGCCCTCGATAGCCTTGCCTTCCACAAACTTGTGTAATACCCTTTTTAAAGCCATCCAAGTACATGACCACCACAACCTCTTGTGAGAGCAAATGCCATAGATCAAGTTATGCTCGGAGTAAAAAAGTATTTCCTTTCGTCTTTCCACCGTTCAACTTCACTGGGCACCCCTGGGCCTTGCAATGTGAAAAAAATGCCTCTCTTCAATTTCCCTACACCATGCATGATTTTTATACACCTTTGGCATGTCCCCGCTTACTTGTCTTTTTTCTAAACCAAAAAGCCCCAAATGTTGCAACCTTTCCACATAGGGGAGTTCCTCTAGTCCCTTGATCATTTTGGTTGCCCTTCCTTTAAGGAGTACAGGATAGTGTAGATGGTTTATCTCCTTTTCTACTTTGATTGGGTTCTGAGATACTGATAACCAAGGCAGCCACTGATCTTCATAGCAGCTGACCAAGCAAGTCAGTTCTTCCCAATGCAATTCTGTTAACTACATCAGACGACATAAAGGTGTCCCCGCCTGATAGGCATACAACATTTAGGCATCTTTTTGGTTTAATGAACTATGCAGAATGGTACTTTTAAGCACACCATCTAAATTACTGCATACGTAATTATATAGAGTGTGTTTGCTTCCTGCTTTTTTCAGCTGGTTGTTGTGCTGCTGAAAGAAAGCATATAATCCTTGCTAATCAAGAGAATGAAATGTGGAATATTTCCAGTGGATCAAACAAGACTTTAATGTCTTTTAGAGGGGATAGTGCAAACCCCTGTCACACACACCCTTGCATCAGAACAGTAATTAGCTTAACTACTTATATAGCAAATAGGATTTGCTATTTGCAAATGCGCAAAGCCATATGCTGCCATGCCAGTGCATCTGAATGGCTGGAGCATAGGTTCCTTAGCACAAGCTTATCTTTTGCTTTCAAATTGCCCTTTCTAAGCACTTCCACAAATGAGGCTTTTTGCTTTCTCTATTTATTTGCCAACCACACTGATACTGCAAAATGGAGGAATAGAATAAATTGCTTCATGCTTTCTTTGACCTCAGATCTAGGATGCTTTTCTACTCTATTACCAGCATGCTGCTAACCCGACCCCTTTTAAAGCAATACGGCTTAGTAAGTGCACAGGCAGGGAAATGTATGTGGCAGTTTGCATGATTTAAATTCTGGCATCCTGTTCCTAAGTGTCTACAGTGGATGCAATGCAGCACTGTGATACTTCAGCCAGGAGGATGTAATATGCAGGGATGTGGCCCTGGAGGCAACAAGGTGGAGTAAAAAGGAGTGAACCAGCAGTAAATCACACAAAGTAAGTGGAGTTAACTCTTTATTAGGAGGGGGGAAACACGATCTGCACAGGAGTGTTAAGCCTAATGAGCACAGCAATTCTTCTTAGGTCGGTCTTGCCCCCATGAATGATGCAGTTGAGGAGACTGAAGCTCCCCTCCTCTCCAGGATTTCCCCCAAGGTATCTGAGACTACACCTGTGTGGTGCTAATTTCTCCTCCACCCTCCTCATACCTCTCCTGGTTCTGGGAGACCGGGAGGGAGGGGAGCTTGTCCCATCAGGAGCGGAAGACACCCATGCCTCTTCACCAGTCTGACTCATCTCTGCCTCTTGGCCTCCCTCATCCCACTCACCTGCTTCAGCTTCTGATTCTGAGCTGCTCTCTGCCACAGACTCCCCCTGCTCACGGAGCCCCGACACCTCCTCCCAGTCTTTTCCTTCTGACCACTCAATGTC